GCTGCTGCTGGTGCTGGTGCTGGCGCTGGTTTTGGCGCTGGGGCTGGCTGGTGCTGCTGGTGCTGCTGCTGCTGCTGCCGCTGCTGCCGCTGCTGCTGCTGCTGCTGCTGGCACTGCTGCTGCCGCTGCCGCTGCCGCTCCTGCTGCCGTCTGCCGCTGCCGTCTGCCGCTGCCGCTGCCGCTGCTGTTGTTGTTGAAGCAAGGACAGATTGAAATGTAAAGTTGAATCAGCAAGGGACAGAGTCAAGGCTGGGGAAGCATATCTTGAACAGGCAGAAAATGCATTTCGTACAGAAAGGATATAAGGACAGGGGAAAATCAAGGAAGGCATGTGCATTTTGTCATCAACTAAATCCATATTGGTTTTCTGAATTGACCTTCCTCTTCAAGATTGTTGGAGTGAGCGGCTCAGTTCAAGCTGCTGTGGAAAGAATCTGCACAAATCACTGGAAACTGCGGTTTGCTTGAGGGTAGGTGTAGGGGTGTAAAGTAGGATCAAGCCTAAGCTTCAAGGCCCCCCAAAAAAAACGCACATCTCGCTCCGCAAAAGACCGTCTCTGCCTCGTTGATCTTTGATCCTCTTGGACCAATCAGGCTTCCCATGATGGTGATGGGAAACTCCAGGGTCTCGGCAACTTCCCCCTCCTGGCGAGGGCGAGCGCTTGGTCGGTGCCCTTGAGCCGCTTCAGCGTCGAAAACGATGAACGGCCCCGCCTCGATGCGGTCGCCTCAGAAGAAAGAAGACGGGGCCACACCAATAGAAAGCAAACCACCCGTGTTTCGTGGTTTGGCGCTCATCTCGAGTCTCATGTCAGGGGATTGATCGTCCAACGGTCGGAGAATAAATCAATCGGAAGCGTCACAGTGATGACATTGTTGAGCGATCGCTGGCGAGATCCGCACGTGTGACTTAAATCGGCGCTGCACATTGCCATGCGCTGAGGTGGAAGTCTGAAGCCGTCGGCGCTGCCCCAGTTTTTGCCAAAGGCGGACACTCCAACGCGCGCGTCGGCACTGAAACTGTCCAGGCAAGGGTAACATGCGCCAAATTCATCTCCTTCTGCTTCACTCCCACGTGACTGCAAGTTGACTGGACCCTGCTGCAAGAAGTGGAGTGGTCAAACGGCATGGTAGCGAGGCACATCATGGCGGACACGCGGAGTCAGGTCAGAAGTGCAGCATGATGTGGTTGGGCGCAAGCGCCCGAGGACACAAAATGCACACATGAAGTGCACACAGTGTCTGACCCACTGGCCCTGCTCGACCTTGTGAGCTGCAAGGCTTCGCCCTTCTTGTGCTGGACATGTCAACAACTCTGGCAATCATCAGACCGGCCACAATCCGTGTGAAGCTTTCACCAAGCTTGGCGCTTGAAGCTTTTCGCCCTTGCCACTCTGAGGCGTTGAAATTTGCCAAGATCCTTACAAACCTCGCGCACACAGTTCTGGCATCCGCCTGTCGTGAGCTACTCACTGTGAATGAAATATGCATTGGATAAGCTCTGCAAGAGAAAGATTGCATCCAACCGGATATTCTCAAGGATGCTACACATGTCTAACATCCACGAGTACGTCCGATGCGAATTTTTAAGCAGTGGAGCGATTTAGAAACAAACAGCTCCCAAGCAAAGAAAAGACACCTGCAAGTTGCAAAACGACACCTGCAAGCCGCATCGACCAACTTGTCAGTGAACCCGAGGCATCCACCCACGGGAGCTCGATCTAGGGCCTGGCCGGGGTCGTTTGACAAAGTCCCTTGCATTGCTCGACACTTCCGGTTTTACGCACGGCTGAAGGTTAAGGCCAGGTTTCAAACAAAGCCTTGAGACCAATCGTTTGAAACGGTCACCACTGTTTGAGATGCATCCACCAGATCCATCCCTCACCCGCTTGACTCTGCCCCAGCCTTCTCTGCTCGCTCAAGGATCATTGCTTTGGCGTGCTGCACCTCTTGGGATCACTCGCTCTTGGCAATTCGTTTTAAGGGACATTGCCTGCTCGGCAGTACCGCTGATCTTGAACCTCAGAAAAGGAGAAAAGAAGAAACTTGACTTCCAGGTTGACGCGGAGCCGAATGCTCCGAATGGCGAAAGCTCAGCCGCCAGCTCGCAGTGGTCTTCATCCCGGTTCTGCACGCGTAGGGTCGTTCGTGGGGCCAGAAACCGAAAAATTGCTCAACGTCCTCCGCATCGATACGGGCACCGCTTTCTTGTCGAATGAGATTGATGTTGCCGCCGCCCTTGCCAATCACCTCTGTGCGAGCAGCATTGCGCATGAATTGTATCCCGAACAAAATCACATTTTATATCGCCACGGTTTGCGACCCGAAACCCTAAGCTCAAGTGCCGCACACGACCCATGATGCTCCGACGAAGCAGCACGGAGTCCGTGCCTGACGATGCCACAGACAGCAACACCAGTGGAACACGAAGTCGAATGAATTGTTTGTATTGATGAAACCCTTCGCTCGCATTGCTTTTATGATTTCACGTTGCGTCAGACGGCAAAGATGAAACAAGGAGCTGAACCCGGGGATTCTTAGCCAAGCTGCTTCCGCCCCTTCGGGGGCTGCTGCTGCTTCGCCGCCTGCAAGGAAAGAGCACAGATGGGTACGTGTCGAAGGGGGGCGTGTTTATTTTTGCCTTCCAGCCAGAAGGTGAGAGAGGCTTCACCGAAAACACCCCAAAACACCCTAAGACATGGATTCCTAAAACCCAATCATGGCGCTGTCGCGGCTTGCCGGCGCCTTCGGGACGCTTTGCTCCCACCTGGCCGCAATCTGGCGGCATCTGGCGCTTAACGGCTCGCAGGCCTTCCGGCGCCAGCATTCCCGGCCAGCCCCACATCCCGGCCATCCACCTGGCGTCTAACGCTAACTCGCGCAAAAAACGCGCGAACAAATCATTGATAAGCTTCCCACGGCAGGGGTGGGAACGGCAGGTTCATTGGCCTTGGGTCGTGCATTGAATTGGTCAAAAAAACCCGCTCCAAACACTAAAAACACACACACACACATGGCCATGGCCCAATGCACATCCCAATCCCCACTAAAACAGACTATAATGGGTGGTGCACCTACCCCAAAATGGGATCCCAAAACGGCTTTGACCCACAGCCATATCGGCACTTGGTCCCAGCGGAGGCATCGGACGCCGCCGCATCGACCGGCTATTGCTCTGTCTGGCACTCCTCCTGGGAGATCTCCTGGAGCCTCAGCGGTTCCGCGGCTGTCGGCTCCTGGGTCTCCGTTTTCTTTGGCTTTGGCTTTGGAAAAATCACAAGGGACACCGGCCCAGTTTGGGGGCATTTGGAAAACCGGCCCATGTCTCTGTGGCCCTATTTTGACCCCCAGCTGACCCTTTCTTTTGGACACATCGACCAAAAGCCTCTCACCGCCCCAAAGCCAAGTGAGTCATAATCAAAACCCGGCATTAAACTGGTCTACCCAGAACCATGTAAAGAATTAAGAAGGCGGATATCCGCAGCTCTTTATGGTTGGGATTGTCTCTGTCTAACCTTCATCTACCCAGGTTTTGATACTCAAGTCGAGGCCGCCGCGGGAGCGACTCCGGGAGCGGCTCCGGGAGCGGCGGGCTGGCCGGGAACTGCGGCTGGAGCGCCGGCTGAAGCTCCGCAAGCCTCAGGCTGTGGCGAAAACCGGGAGACAGGAATGGCGAAAACCGAGGAATTTCTAGGAACCCTAAAGCCCAAAACCCTGGGAACCCCAGGAACACTAACCCTAGGAACCCTTAAAAAAAGAACCCCTGAAAACCACCCTATCCCTGTTTGCTTCCAGGGTTTCCTCTCTTTATCACCGTGGTGTTTTTGTGCAAAAGCATCAAATGGAAACGCGTTATCCCTAGGCTTCAAGCTCGAAAGAATGGCCTTGCTTGAGACCGAACCTGGTTCCCTGCCATCCCTAGGCTTCAACCCCGTCAAAAGCATCGCTTGGGGCCCAATTCAGCTGAAACCTGAACGGGAGTGGAGAAACAAATTTGGTGCTACCGACCCAAACATTTCTTTTTTTCATGGTGGTAAAGCCTAGACCAGCGCCGTGTTCTGGGTGGTTTCGTAGCCCAGGACCCACAAAAGTGCCCACTGCCCCGACTTATTTCTGAGCTCGTCGCCGCGCAGGCGGCTCGGGCGCCTGCTGGGACTCCGGCTGTCGCGCCTCGCATCGGAGCTTGGGACCAAGGCTTGGTCCAAAGCACCAAAAAACAATTGGCTGGCTCTTCTTTTTGGAGGGCACCCGGTTTTTGCTTTCTTCTCATTTTGTATTTTCTTTTTTTCTTCTTCGGGAAGGGGGGGGGGGGACTTTCTGTCTTTCTGTTTTTTCTTGTCGTTTTTCCTTCTTTGGGAAGGGGGGGGGGGGTTGGCACGGGGGGGACCGGAGAACCCTTTTGGGGAGAACGGCAGAACGGCCAATTTGCGACAACGCCCACTTGTCCACTTGTCCAAGCAAAGGTTCCGTGGTTTCGAAGTTCACTTTCACGCTGGGGCTCCAAGCTCCCGCATGGCTCACCGGAGCCGTTCGGCAGCTTCGCCCGGGTCTGTTCAGTGCCTATGGCACCTATGCGACTGCTTGGTGCGTGCTAGGGTTGATACAACAGCGCTCAGCATCGGATGCAAAGGACATGGGACAAGTCCTGGGGAAATTAGACTCTGCCCCAATAGACTTCTGGCGATTTTGAGAGACCTTGGGGGCCAAGAAACACAAAGGCGCAACACTTGTGTGCGTACTTGTGGCCGATGTTGCTGTCTGCAGCTGCGCATCTAAGATCTAAGGAGATAATGAATGTCTGTTAGCGTCCAGGGTTGCTTTCAGCACTTGAGCTTTAAAAACGGCTCAGACCAGGCCGAGCAGAATTTCACGGCAGGCAAATTTGCATGCGTGGTTTCTTGTTGGTTTCACCATCCGATTCACAGGGAGAACCAGGGTACCCCAAACAATGCACCCATCTTGTCGCGTGAAGTGGGGCTCCGGAAAGGCGGAAGGCTCACCGCCAACACGGCGTCGACGCTAATCTTGGCCAGCTGGTCCTTGCGGCTGCTGACCACCTGCGACAACCCGCAGACGGACCCGTCGCACCCGTCATGGAACGATCCTTGATCGGCGTGGCCGAGGTGTTTTTTTCAACTCGCCTTGGAGCCCAAGGCAGTGCTTGCTGCTTTCCGCAAAGCCGCCTGGTCCTGAGCCGAAGAAGAAGCAAAACCTGCGGAAAAATGGGACGGTATGAGTCAAAAATAGGTAGCCAAAATTCGGACCCTGATAAGTGGAAACATCGACCAACACCTGTCCCCTGGTGGTTTAATTTTGATCCATGCCCAAATGAGAAGCCGGGCCTCCCCTCACCCGTGACCCCAAGCCCTAAATGCGGCCAAGGCTCGTCTGCCTGGATGTCCACAACTTTTGCTATCTCCGACACCTTCTTCACAGCAACCTCAGAGCCAGTCCGGCCCACATCCCCCAGATGCTCTTTGGCGTGGCCTCGCATGCCTTCTCGAAGCCGGTAGCGATGCGCAACGGGTGGATGCCCTTCTCAATGAGGTCCAAAGACTGACCGGCGGAAAGCGTCCGCCCGTCATGGCGTGCTCCCCGCGCTCTATGCAGCAACGCCGGGTTTCTTTCCTTTCGCTGGCACAAGCCCCGCGGGTTTGCGGCGGGCTCGGGCATTGCCGGCGCACGGGGTCTCTCTCAAAGCTGCCCCGGCTTTGAAATGTTTGCCACCACCGAGGGTGACACATCTGTGGGGCCTGGGCCGATCGCGTTGCCGAGAGGCGAAGGAAATCGCGTGCTAGTCGCTGCGCATGTTCCAGACTTCCAACCAAGAGGCCATCAACCCAGCCGAGGTAGTTCATGTGGGAGACGCGCTGCAACTGAGAGCCAAGCTTACCACCACACCAGGATTGGAATGAGAAATGGGCGTGGCTCACAAACAGGGGGCAAATCCCAAAATGGAGCTGGCAATAAAAGGACTGGTAGACTCAAACCTGCGGTCCCCTGGCTCAATTTTGAGCCACACCTTCATAGAACTTTTCGCACGGAGGTTTTGTTGAGGCCAAGACCCACTTGGTGAGATAGTGCTGCGGGTCCGGCGGCGCGACCTCAACCTGCTCCTGCGAATCCCGGAATGCCTCGCCCGAATACGGGAGTCAAACCCACTGCTTTGGGCTTCAAACTTGGTTGACGTTGGAAGGGGAGCAAAAATTTAAACTTTAGCAGTCAAGTGGTTGGATTTCCCACTACACCACAATAAGCAAAAATGTGTCAATTGTTTCCCAACAACAACCATGCAAAGGGGATTCATACAAAATTGACAAGAACGCACATCGCAATCTTCGGAATCTGCCAAGCCAGGCCCTGAGATCGTCACAAAGTCAATGATTTCATCTGCGTTCGGATCTGCTTGAGCAATTTAAAGATCATCCGTCTCAATCCGCAGCAACCAGCAAAATCCGGGGAACAGTTGTCGAGAAACATCGGATCTTGTGTTGCAAGCTCGGGCGGGCCAGGAGTCGACAAGCGTCAACTGGTCCTTGCCCTGCAGCCAGGGCCAGAAGCCTCGCTTCCTGGCCAGCTGCTCACGTACGCTATACACCGACTTGCTTTGGAGTCTCAAAGAAGAGCTTGTGGGGCCGGGGGAGGAGAGAATGTCCCGCTTTGGAACTTGAGAAGAGAATGCTCCCTTTGGCATGCTCTGCCACTTGCAGGTTGTTCAAGTCTTGCTAGGAATATTTTTTGGCAACCGAGCAGAAATCCCTTTGCCACGCAAGGGGATCTTGGGCACGCACCCAGAAACTCGTGCCGTAAGGCACTTGAAAAAAAAGCGGATCCGGCAGTTGCCAGATGTGAAACCAGCATTCAACCTCATTGCGCACCGTGCGCCTTCAACACCTGGATAGTGGCTTCCTGCTGGTTTTGCGTGGCCGCAGCCAGTGGCGTCATGCCCTGAGCATTCGGCTGATTCACGTTGGCGCCAACCTTCAGGAGATACTCCAAGAGCTCCTTGCGGCCATAGCCGGCTGCGTAGTGCAGCCCGCTGTTCCCGGCGCTGTCAACGGCATAAGGATTTGCCCTGTTGTCCAAAAGAAGCTTCACCACAGCGATCCTGTTGGCTCCGATGGCATAGCCGAGAGGAGTGATTCCCTTGAAGTCCTGCGAATCCAGCGGCTTCTTCTTCTCCAGGAAGCTCTTCACAGCAGCAAGATCCCCCCTCTTGGCAGCTTCGTGCAGGGTCATTGCCGTGTCCTCAATCTTCTGCAGAACCGGCGACAGCTCCGCAGGCAAGCCACCCATCTTCTGGCTGATCTTCAGCATCAACTCCTCGTCCTGGTAGTACTTCATCGCTGCCTCCATGCCGTTCTTCTTGATGTCCTCAAAGACGGCTGCCAACTCGGGATCAGTCTCCAGGGATTTCACCTTCTCTTGCACAGGGTTGTTGTCCCCACCGGCGGACAACTTTGTGTTGTAGTGCTCTGCGATGGCTTGCGTCTGCAGCCAGCCCCTCATGGCCTCTGGATTCTTGGCGAAGCTTTGAAGGGTCTTAGCTGTGTCAGGGTTGCCCTCAACATAAGCCTTCACCTCAGCCCAGGTCTGGTCATCTACGTCTGGCAGCCGCGCAATCTCCATTGTGGTGCCATCGCTGATCTTCAAGGTCTCCGTGGACATTGCGACGAGATATGCCGAGTTTACAGGGATGCGTTTCTGGCCTGGAGCCCGGCGGAGAACAACCGGACCAACCTCTCAACTGCTTTGAGCTTTCAGCACAGGTTTTCAAGGTTGGACCTGCCAATGGCTTCGGATGTCCTTCTGCTTTTCTTTCAAAACCAAGAGGCACCCGAAAAACCGATCAATCGCAGGCCTGGGCGGAAACGGCGGCCCGGGGAAGTAGGCCCCGTAGGGGTTGTACTGGCCGTTGGCGCCTGCGTACCGATCCGCAAGGCCTGGCGGACTTTTCGCCTCCAGTCGCCGTTGCGAGAAGAAAAGCATCCCACCTGCTTCGTCCAGCTCGTCCAAGCCTTTTCCAACCGAGTCACTTCCTTCGCCTATCAAACTCACACCCGACTCTCTCTCCAACTTGTGCGCTGCACGAGCAAGCAAGCACACCTGGCTTCTCAAAATGAAATGCACCTCTCAAATGCCTTTTGGTTGGCTTGGGAAGCCAAAAGGAACTTTGAGAAGCCGATTCCTATTTTTAGAGACGCCCAAACCACCCGGCGCCCCGCCTCGGCGCCGCTCACGGGCGCGCTGCTCGGCGAAGCGCCGCTCCGCCTCCTTCTGCACGCTGCCCTTCAAGAAGCGCGCGTCCATCCTACAAAAAGCTACCCAGCGACCAAAGGGGGGAACAAAACAATATGGCCATGGGTCAAAATCCAAATCGTACCCCCAGTCAACATCCCAATCCCGCTAGCATAGACTAAAATAAAATGGCTGGTGCACCTACCCCATATAATAAATGAGGAAAGAATAATGGTCTGCTGCGTCAAACCAAGTCTGTTCGAACAAGCACGCTGCAAACATGGCAAGTGCACAGCCGACGTGCCAAAACATGCGCCTGCAATCGCGCAAGCAAGGCTCGCCGTACTTGCCTGCACAGCCAGAACTGTGAATGCTGCCATCAAGGCCCTTCCAATGCGCATGCAACGGCTGGTGTGGTGTCTGCTCAGGGTTCTCTATTTCCCGGGCAAACATCACCCCGAGGGCAACTCACCTTAAATGCGCCAAAAGAAATGGCGATGTTTAGTTGCAAAAAATGTAGCCATAGGGGTCTGGTGTTGGGTGGTGCCAATTTTTTCTGGGAGGTGACATCAATAGAAAAACAAGCCCAAAATGGGCTCAACCCGCCCCATTCTCGAAAAATTCATGTGGAACCTGTCTGCACCCCCGCCTGAAGGGTTGCAGCACATGGGCACGCCACTCCGCTGCCTGGGGACCCCCTCCTGACATCCAGACTCTGCGCTCAACGGGGGGTCCCTTGCCGCGCGTCCTCATCCCAAATCACGGACTCGAAGCTGGTCCGCAGCGCGCCCTCAGCTGTCACAGCCCCGAAAAGGGAAAAAACAAAACAAAATAACTTAACTTGTGGATATTTGAGTTTTGGGAAGGAATCCAAGTGCAAGTCCCTCAAGTCCCCCAATCTCGGCCGTCGCCTTGGGCATAACGAGCTCAAGGACCATCACGTCGCGTCCAGCGCGCTCACCGCGCCGTGGCACCATGGCGCGGCATCATGTTTAATGTCAGCTTTGGTTTTGCTTTGGGTTTGATGCTTCAACGCAACTCAATGGACAGTCCGCGGGAGCCCTCAACTTCAATTACCCGTTCTGCTGGCCTTGTCCATGCCCAACAACCAGGCACCCGAAACAGCTACGAAGGCTCCAGCCTGGACTTTGCAATTTGCTCTGAGCTTCGGCTCTGAAGGTTCCTTCCGAATCCAAGTCTGATCAATACAAACTGCGAGTACTTCTCATTGCTCAGCCCCTCTCGATGCTCAGGCTGAAAACGGGAGATCACATCCGTGGCAAGCAATGCACATCCTGGCCAGCCTTCTCCAGCAGCGCACCAGCCATGACCACCACACCTGTGGTACCATCGCCTATCTCATGGTCCTGCGGGACGCCAAAGTCAACAACGAAGAGGTGCATTCACCAGACAGTTTTGCGAGGCTGGATGGGGGCCTGACACGCGAGGAACGTCGAATTGGATGTAGCTTGGGCGTTCTGACAGAACAAGCGGAAGGGCATCTTACGGATCTCCACGTCTCACAACTTATCCCGCGTCCTGGGATTGGGAGAGCTCCACCAGCAGCTTCGCAATCTGTCACCGGATTGGCACCGGAAAGGGTCTCTCCAGGGGGGGGGGGGGTATTTCTCCACCCGCACACTGCAATGGGCTGCTCTCCGGAGCAAAAGGGCCTGGTGGTTCACATCCATCTTCTCTAGGATTGTCGCGCCGTCGTTGGTCACTGTCACATCCTGCATGCGCTGACAGCTTCCTGCCCTTGTCCGGGTGAGTCCTTCTTTGAGGGTCTTTGTCTTGTGGGGTTTCCACCAACCGAAGCCATGCGGATCAGGACACACCCATCCCCAGACTTCCACCCCCGCATCCCCGGCAGGCTCGCTCGCTTGCTCGGTCCCCATCAGGGCCGACGACCATCTTGTCCATGCCTCTGGGCCCCATGGAGCTACGGACCTTGGCCAAGGAATCCCCACAGCCCCGTGTGGGTCCGTGGATTTTTTTGGGCTTCTGGTTTTTTCACGCTTGGAGCCTCCAAATGGCCTCGGCTGTCCTTTCGTCTTCCCGTTAAAATATATTTAAAACAAAGGAAGACGGCAAGAAAGGACAGACCCAATTCAAAAGGGCAGGTCTCGAGAATCTGCGTGAGGTTCTGGCGGAGTCAGCGACAGCCTTTGCTGCTAGGATATTGGCCTGGCATTTGGCAAAGCCGCTGCCCGATGACCAGATGCGCCACGCGCGCTTTGCAACAGCATGTGGCCATGCGGCATAACCTATGGCTCCATTTTGGGGGTGGATGAACATCCATTTGCCACCTATGTTGACGTTTACCAGGGGTACAGGGCTTTGACCCACAGCCATGTGTTTTGCAGATGCCTTGTGCGCATCCAAGCCAGAGAGCCGCTTCTTCTTGGCCTGTTCCTGGCAACAGCGAGCAACGCCAGTCCAACGTTGGGCCCCCCGCCGGGCCAGCAGATGGAAAAAGGTGAGGCTGGGTTCGATGGAATAGACAACTCCAATTAGAACTAGAGAGTACCAATAATAAAAACTGATCAAATCTTGCAGGTCTCGCAGCCAATCCATTCTCGCGTGCGGAAAAAAAAGGGGGTTTGGCTGAATAGGAGGACGCAATCGCAGTCGCTACTGAAGATATGACTCCATTATTTTCTGCCACCATTTCATTTTCTCTCCCATGCGGCATCCTTTGGCCGCAGGCTGTCCGGCAGCTGCGTCGAGCTCGGCCGCTCCCAGGTGGAGGTCCCATTCTTCGTGTTCCAATAGTAGTTGGCGCTGTACTGCTCGCTCCAGTGCTGTTCCCAGCCGGGAGGCAGCGGCTTCTCATGTCCTAAGGGAGGGTCTTTGGGTTGGCCAGGCAAGGTCTGACGCACAAACACAAGCAGAGAGACACCCGAGGCAGGCAGAAACGGGGCAAGTTTGGTCAAGCCTGCCTCCTCTCGCCCGCTTCGCCGCAGGCGCCTCTAGGCTGGACCTTGACTCCCGCTTCCGCGTCATTTCCGCAGCACTGCCTCGAGTGGGGCCTCTGAAGGCTGTGAAGGGGCGAGCGCTTGCGCCCTTGGCGCTCGCTTTGCCCTTGGCGCTCGCTTTGGGCGACACCGCTAGGGCACGGGGTGCGTCTGAGCTCTGCTTCCAATCGTCCTTCCAATTTGACTTCTCCTCCCAATTCTTATTGCCCCAACTCTGGGACTTCTTAGAGTCCCATTTGGAGTCCTCCCACTTGGAGTTCTCCCAAGCTCCTTTTGACCTGGACTCACTCCACTTACTTTTGGAGCTGGAATCGTTCCACTTCGAGTCCTTTGAATCATTCCACTTGGTCTCCGTGGACTTGGAATCATTCCACTTGCTGTAGTTGGACTTGGAATCGTTCCATCTGTTGCCCTGAGACGCCTCATTCCACTTCTGTTTGGAGCTGGAATCGTTCCATTTGGCGTCCTTCGGCCTGGAATCATTCCATCTGTTGTCCAGGACATTCCACTTGTCCGTGGGCTTGGAATCACTCCACTTGCTGCCTGACTTGGAATCATTCCACTTCACTCCCGAAGACCATCCGGATTCCCGATCTGACTTCCAATCCTTTGACCATCTGTCTGCGCCGTATCCTTTGGCACCTTTGCCCTGTTTGCCTTTGCCCTTGCCCTTGTCCCTTACCGGTTTGGGCGGGGGAGCGTCCTCCGGAGCTGGCGGCTGACCCTCCCTCTGCTGAAAGGGATTCTCTCCCTCACGCACCAAAATCCGGCACTTCACGGTGTCGGAGTGGCCCAAGCCACCAGTCTTCGTGATCTTCTCTGCAGCGCCCTCATCCAGCGCCTCCTGAATCGCCGCGGTGTCGATGTAGTTGCCCTCCACCCTCAAGTAGAGCGGCAACTTCGCCTTCTCCGCATTTCGACTGTCCGGCGCTGGGAAGACCTCGTTCTCTGCAAGGCCTTC